TACATGGCGACGGGGCCAAGAACAACAATCAGAACAAAATCGATGTCTGTTCACATGGAACGTTCTGACCTCGCATTGTCGAGAAAAATCCGTGACTATCTACTGCGTTGCAGGCCCTGGAGCCTGGAATCTAAACAGTCTAGGTTTAGTGGGTCAGGGTTATTTGCCTGGGTTGTAGGATCAAAGGCATTTAGGGTCCGGGCTTCAGGCTGTTTGGATTTAGGGGTTCATGGCTTCACGCTTAGGGACCTTAGGGGTTTGTAGGTGACAAGCGTGCAGGAGTGACGCATAGAGCCCCTGTGCGAAGACATGCGCGATCCTTGTGCGAGAATACTTACTGGCCCTACAGGTCAACAGGCATCTGTTCTTCTTTCCTCTGGTTTGTATTAATCAGCATAGTTGCCGTCACTCTTGCTATCTTGAATTGGTTCCCCTTTTTGCTTACTCAGCGTCAGCATTGCAATTTGTGCGAGGTTACAACGGGTTCACCTACTGATTGGGCCCCTGGGTGTTCTACCTTGCACAGGGATTGGCTTGCCCTCCACGCATGCGGCCCTCATCCTTGCTGAGGATGCCCTCTCGCCTTCAAGTTAGTAAAGGGCACTCCAAGGGACTTTGTGATCATGTCTCTCTATTACGAAAACAGGCTTTCAGACAACGCAAATCCTGGAATAAATACTTTCAAAAGAGCAAGACTACTTGCAACAAAAAAAGGAGGGGTTGACTTGTAATGAACGTGGAGGGCATCAAGATCTGGGAACGCCTTCATCGTATTCACCTTGACGTTAAAGGCTCAAGTGGTTTCTGAAGCTTTTTGTCAAGTCGCTGGAGATTAAACTCCTCCTGAGAACAAAACCCGCAGAAAAGTTTTGGTATCATAGAGGCAAGCGACAGGGTTTATTGTGAGTGGGAAGCGATTGTACATAAACCTCATCCATATGTACCTGCGTAACTTTAAAACCAGATCATATGTGTGTGGATATTTTTTAAGCACATGTGTATGCAAGCCTCTTCAAACACCCAGGTTCAGAGTTCAGGCTTTAGGTTTGGGCGGTTAAATTTTGGAGTTGGCGACTTTTAGTAAGCTGGACTACTAGCATCGACAGAAGCTTATGCCAGCAAGCCCTTTCACAAGCAGGGTTATGATCCTACAAGCTAAGTCCGGGCTCTACATCTCAGCCCCCATG